ACAGCGATCATGACCATCAGATGAAGCCAGGAAGCGACCACATCCAGAAACGCACGAGCGGGAAGCCATCTTTAAAAAGACGCCCGTTGCTCGTGAAGCTCTTTTAGAAATTGCTCTTTTTTGAAGGAAATTACTCTTTTAGAGCGCTGACGCGCCCAGGGGAGGTCGCGGCGAGACCGCAGAATGGAAGCTGCAGCCCGCCGAGGTTTCTAGCAGCCTGGATGGCAACCCCCGCTGACACGCCGTGACACCAACGCCAGCTGTTTCCAAACACTCGCGGAGATTCGTCTTGTAGAAGGCTCGGCTCTGAAGCGAAAAGCTGATGTGCGTTTGCACGCGCTCTCCTTTTATACCTGCGCTGCGGGGCGGGGTGCGCGTGGCGAAACACGCACTCCAACTGTCATTGGCTTGTTTAGTTAACACTCGAAGGTGATTGGGCTCTCAGGCGAGATCCCAATTCGTCAGTCACGACTGACGTAACGTCGAACGTGACTGACTGAAAGGAAACTATAGTTACTTTTACTACAATAAAACCATGGTTAATTTTCGTAAGGATCTGAACAAAGGTCTTTACTAGCATCATCTTTAACAACAACTAAAAGGAATTTTAGCTGCACAGTTCCTTTCAGTTAAAATGCACTGCTTTGGTGGTCTTGCTGCAGGTTTAAAAAATGAAGAACAGGCTCACCCGGCCTATGTTCCATTGTTGTTCCCCGAGAGACGAGCTCCGACTACAAGAAGATTAAAAAGACTGGATCATCTCAAAAATCGAGAGAGGCATCGGTTTAGTTATCAGCGACAAACGCCCCCTCCAGAGAGTACAGATGAGCCAGATGTCCCCGTGCCCCCTCTGGAAACCCCAGTCCTGCCTCCGGAGAGTCCATACGATCTACAGGTCCCCATGTCCCCTTCAGAAACCACAGTCTCCCCTCCAATTGAAGCAAGTCAAGTTTTCATCAGGCAGCGTGAAAGGAGATGACAGCAAATGCAGAGTCATGACAGGCTTGTCATGGTCAGGTTTTGACATTCTGCATCAGTATCTGGTGCAGTTTGTCAAGCCAAGGTTCCTGTGCAAGCTTTCAAGTGAAGACCAGCTGTTCATTACTCTGGTTAAACTTCGGCAGAACCCTACTAATGATTTATTGTGTAGCATATTAAATATTGCACCCAGCACGTTTAGTGACATATTTACCCGATGGCTGGACCTCATGTATGCCAAAATATCCTTCTTAATTGCCTGGCCAGAAAGGGAATGCATTCGGAGTACGGTACCAGCTGAAGTGCTGGTACAGTACCCAAGGATTACTTCGATTATCGACTGTTTCGAGATAAGAATTGATCATTCGAAGAAGCTGAAAACTAGGTGGGCAATTTTTCTTGTTATCAGTTATATTTCATTAAAACTGTGTTTTTTTCCTGTAACATTAAGATATTTCATGGCCACTTATTGCACAAACTACATTGTTGGTCTTTCAATGAAGAAAGATATATGCACATAGCATGTCAATAGCTCCTCACAGAGCAGTCACTTACTCCAGATACAAGAACTGGACTACAGTAAAATACTTCATTGCATGTCACCCATCTGGCGCAATTACATACCTCTCCAAAGGCTGGGGCGGGAGAGCATCAGATATTCAGATTGTGAGGAACTCCCGATTTCCTATCCTCGAGATACCACCAAGCTGGAGATCAGGTCAGAGTTTAACTTGAGATGTGTTATGTACTGTACACTGTTAAGATCTTTTCATAGGACATTTACTATAAATGTTAAGTTTAACTGCCTATTTTTACTGAAAGCATTTCAAGTCAAGTTGTCCCCATGTTGCTCTATTCCCATTTGTTTCAAAAGGAATATGTTTGTGTAGTGTCCTTATCTTAGTTTTATTTTGTCATTTCAGATTCTTGCTGACAGAGGATTCACTCTAAAGGATGACTTTGCCGTTCTGGGTGCACAACTTATAACGCCATTTTTCACACGGGGGCAAAAACAGTTGTCAGCACAAGATGTGGCAAATTCTCGGGTCACGTCTAACATCAGAATTCACATTGGTAAGTATTATTAAGTCAGTAGTCGGTTCTCCATTTAATGAATGCTTAAGAAATCAGACATTAGGTATTATGTTGCTTGTTGTAGTTTTATTGTATATAAAGTAACAATGGAGGTTTAATAACAGATATACGTGTTCTCTGCAGAGAGAGTGATAGGTGCCTTGAAGAACCGGTACCACATTCTGGATGGCCCACTTCCTCTGCGCCTGGTGAAGAGTATGAAGGATGAAAAAGACAACAGACCAGAGGCAATAATTGGCCGGATTGTACATGTTTGCGGGGCATTAATGAACATGTCTGGCAGTGTTATGTACAACAGGGATTAAATCTTAAAGTAAGGGTGCAATAAATGTGCCATAATTTAATTGGCTCCTCAGATCAAAATACATTATTTTCAAAATACAACTTTTTTTTTTTACACAGGAACTGATTGTTGCATTCTGACTGTACCAGCTGTTGTTTGTCTGTTCATAGGTCACGGATGTACTTCAGTGCTGCTCTACTGATGCACACTCTATCACCCAGCCTCTTCTGCCTGAAGTACCGCCTGCTGCCCGATGTACCTCCTCTGCTGCCCGATGTACCGCCTCTGCTGCCCGATGTACCTCCTCTGCTGCCCGATGTACCGCCTCTGCTGCCCGATGTACCGCCTCTGCTGCCCGATGTACCTATACGTTTATGCTGGGATGTTGTGGATCTTAGGAGATGTTACAGAACCATTTCATGTAAATTTCTTCGATGTACTGAAAAAAATCTATATAGATTACTTTTATGCGGGCGGGAGCGGGACAAAACATGAATGTTGCATTTGTTTCTATGTTTCTACTTCATATCAGAGAAAATGAAAATGCCATCGAAACTTTTCTGAAGACAGTCGGTTCCCGTCAGAGATACATTCATATAAAACACCCGCGACGTGTTTTGATTTTGAAACGTGCAGTGCTCATGTTTATTCAACGAAATCAAACGCCACAAATAAATCAATGTATGGGAAACACTGGTAATGTATATCGAAATATCGGAAATGTGTTTAAAAATCATATCACCGTTATTGAAAAAAATTATATCGCGATACATATTGATATTGAATTATTGTCCAGCCCTACCACAGGGAGCTCGATTTGTGTTTATTAACTGTGTTGGCTGTGACAAGGAATGTTGAAGAGGGAGGCCAAATGGAAATAAAAACTCAAATCTAAATACATATCTTGCAAAAAGGCACTTATGTAGTCAGTCTGATGCTCACAAATCCAGACTTTTACATTAGTAATAGTGCTGCTCAAAAATATTTATTATTATTATTATGTTGAAATCAGCTGAGTAGAATTTTTCAATTTAAAGGGGTCATATGATGCGATTTCAATTTTTCCTTTCGCTTTGTAGTGTTACAAGCTCTTGGTGCATAAAGAAGATCTGTAAAGTTGCAAAGACTAAAGTCTCAATAATGTTCTTTTTAGCAGCATCATATGACCCCTTTAAAGTATCAATTTCTATAATAATTTTATATATATATATATATATATACATACTGACTCCAAGCTTTTGAATGGAATAGTGTATAATGTTGCAAAAGCGTTTTATTTCAGATAAATGATGATCTTTGGATCTTTCTATTCATCAAAGAATCCTGAAAAAAATGTACTCAACTGTTTTAAATATCGATGATAATAATAATAATAATCAGAAATGTTTCTTCAGCAGCAAATCAGCATATTAGAATGATTTCTGAAGATCATGTGACACTGAAGACTGGAGTAATGATGCTGAAAATACAGCTTTGATCACAGAAATAAATTACAGTTTAACAGATGTTCACATAGAAGACAGTTATTTTAAATAGGAAAATATTTCACAATATTACTGCGTCTGTATTTTGGAGCAGAAGAGAATTCTATAAAAACATAAAAAATCTTGCTGTTCAAAAACTTTTGACTGGTAGTGTATACGGTATATAAATCTAAATGTATTCCCAATAAACCTGGAAATAAATTTAGTTTAAAGCTTCAAAGGGGGTGAGAAAATACATTTCCCATCTTAAATATTTTTGTTTTTCATACATCTCCTCATACTTGTGAGCTATATTGTATATGGCCACATGGGAGTGACCTTCTGCCTTTAAGCTGAAAGAATTGGTCACATCTGCCATTCACAAACTACACAACACGCCAGCTTTAAAGTGAAGGTAAACATTTAGAATCTTTATTCAAATCAATTTAAGTCACAGGAAAGAAATATTTTGCGTGCAGTACTGTTCCAGCATATAGTTGATCCATAGAAAAACTGATTACAGATAGAAATCCTATCTAATAGTTGTAAAATGAAAGATAAAACCCCTGAAAAATTATTTGTATTGAACACCTTTTAATCTACACTACGTAATGCAATGACATTCTTACTAATCAAAAACATTATTTTAAGATGTGTGTTAAGGTCTGGGATTATGATATATATGGTATATATTTGACATTCCTTTTATTCTATTCTTTTTTTTTGTGTGTGTGCCTTTAATCTATTAGGACAGAAAGGCAGGAATAGACAGCAAGAAAGTGAAGTGGTGGAGCGAGAGTGTTGTAATCGGTCCTCGAGTCGGGACTTAAATGAGTTTATATGTATTTAGAGTATGAAGTAAACACATTAAAAAAAAAGAATGGTTGAACAATTGTCAGCAACTTTATATACTTTGTAACAAGTTGTACTATGCTTGCTAACTATCCTAGAGAGGTACTTTGACAGATCACAACTATAATATTACAGCATACAGTGCTGTATATAAATGGAGTAAGTGAATTCTTCAATATGCAAAAACAGACAAGATTTTGTACTGAGCAATTGTTGTAAATGTGTATATCATTTGTAAATCAAAACTAAGTTTTGTCTACTAAGCGTGTTTGGGTAAGAAAACGGAAGCACTTTATCCAGCATCTAACTTTCTTTCTCGTCTGAGAAGAGCAGAGAACTTCCACATTTCGATGCACTGCGAGAGCAGAATGTCTTCAGGGAAGAACTCGTCCACCTCAGGAGGAACGTCCAGGTCTTTACGCTTCATGTAGGACACAACAGTTTCTTTCAGACTGGAGGACAGACAGAAATCAATCAGTTATGATACATTTCCATATGTTCAACATATGCTCTGAGGCTGTTGGAGCCATTTCTTTGTCTATTTTCATATTTTGGACTGATTTAATCATTTTGTTTGATTAGCATTTGTGTTTATTTGAGTATTTGCTTTGAATGTTATGAATTTGTGAATGGAGACTCATCATATCATTGCAATCACGCATTTAGGGCAGGTAAGGAAGTATGTGGGGCAGTAAGGGGAAGTGGAGACAATTTTCAGAAAGTGTGTTTGTGTGCTAATGTTTATCGATGAAGCTACGGTGCAACTGTTGATTTTATGGATTGTGATTTTGCAAAAATAAAGGATGAAAAGCTATGCAACGGACCCGCGCGTCAATTGTTCGCCCCTACTTGGATAGTGGCTTATCACAAACGTGCTGCTACAGATGCAGTACAAAGGCAGGCTGGTAGGCTACATGTAAATACAGTGGGGCTCAGAGGAGGATCGGTTCCACATAACCAGTCAGAAATCATGTTAAGTAACATTTCATGAGCCTTGAGTACACAAAAATGGCTTCATTCCAAACCAGGCTTTGCTGAAAAGACAATAACCTGCAGTTCACCGAGTGAGTCAGATGCTGATTCAGGAACCACTGATGAATTCATGGAATATATTTAGTGACGGATTTGTCAGACTTGTTAAAACCAGTAACTTTTGCGAGCTACCCTTAACGAGCTTTTTTAGAACACTTGACAGACGTGGGCAGATCCGAAATAGAAATACCTCACTTGTTCTGAATGAATCACATTAATGACCAATGTTGCATGCAAAACAGCAATGTTGCTTACCCCGAGTCAGGCCTGAAAGTGTGCGTGTCTTTTGGGTTCTTCAGAACTAAAAGCAGAATTTCATGAATCTCCAACAGGACGGCACCAGCGCTGGGCTTAGTCAAAAAACTAGTGAGCCTTGTCTTGTGCTCCTCCTGCAGAGGATGTTTGTACTCTTCACTGATGTCCTTAAATGGGTCCTGAAGAGCAGATGAACAGTCACATACAAACTCACTAAAGCACAAAGCAGAATACTGTGTTAACTGTGTTGAGTGTCTCACCCCATTCAGACGCAGCAGCGTCTCTGATTTCAGAGAGCTGAGAAGCTGCCACAGCGCCACACAGTGTTTCAGGCTGCACCTGCTTAATGCCTGCACACACAATTAGCACTCATTCACTAAACATCTCAATTCTGCTTCATCTGTATTGTATAAAGCGCTATATGAAAAGACTTGACTTAATACCAGTGAGGATGGCATGCTCGGCACAGACAAATCATGAAGAAAGTGTGTGTTCATGACCAACCTTGAAGACATGTGGGGCCATGTTGTCAGTCATCTGTAGCACCTCCTCTAAATAAGTGCCCAGCTGCACCCGTGGCTCTCCCCCGGTCATGGCGAGGAAACCCAGGGCCAGCTCGACTGTAGACAGTGCCTCACACACATCATTGTAGGACTGCAGCTCCTTCACGAGGTTGTGCTGTATAAGAGCCCGCAGCGGCTCCTTTGAAAGCAAAAATCACAATATGGCTTGTGATATTATACAAATATATCTATGCATTGTAAACATTGATTTAATCAAATATAAATTTTTTATGTTGCATATTAACTTAATGATTAAACATGAATTATGCTAACACAAATAATGCAACTTACTTGTGGCACTTTGCCTTTCACATCCATTAATATGATCTCATAAATTCTGTCCTGTCTGTTCACCACTGTCGGAATACCCTACACAAATAAATATAAATAAATAAGGGTTGTTGACGTGACATGGCATTTTCACTGATAAAAATGCATATAAATTAATATTGTCGTTACTTAAAATGCAGTAAATGGTTAAACATTTCTTTGTCCTACATGGACCTGTTGTTATAAAAGCTGCAGTGTTATTTGATTTTTGATTTTTATTTTGGAGCCAAATCTCAGAATTGTCCTATAGTGTGACTGTCTCAAGCATGGTTCAATAAATTACAACTTTTATAATTGTACAAGTGTCTATTTTAGTAAATGACAATGTTTTTTTCATCCATATATTTCTGAACGCATAGGAAATTGATACATTTTGTCTCTGAAAATCATGTCCTCTGGTCTGACACCATATCCTGATTTTAAATCGGCCAATTCCAGAGAAAACTTTAATTAGTTGAAGGACCTCATTCATGATTATGTTACTGAAGCCCCCTGTGAAGCCCATGACATGTGCACAAGGTCAATTTTCGTCTCAGAATTGTTCAAATATTTAACTTTTTTGGAACCACTACAAAAGTGTTACGTTTTGTTGTCCTTTGGTGTGACACCCCTAAATTATAATTTTAATTAAAAACTGCATGTTAAACTACATAATCATGGAAAATTATGCAAATGTGTCTTGCTTACCACCTAATGACAGGTTAGCTAGGAATAGCAAAGTAATTAACTGACAGAAAAAGGCTGAAACGTACTGTGGTGTGACAGAAAACGTCCTGCGGTGTGACGCCTGTACTGTCACACCACAGGACAAAGATGTCTCACCAGAGGACAAGGTCTCTTTAAGAAGCATTTCAAATAATTAAATAAAATTTGTTTAACTCCTTTTTTTTTTAAATAATTTTAAATGCAATAATTACATTAATTAAACTATTTTCGGATGTTTTTACAGAAAACTTGTACTGTTATAAAGTGTCATGAAAATAAGTATAAAATGTGATACTTTGTTTTTGAGACAGAAAGAATTGAGGCAGAGAAATTAGTGGAAGAGAGAGGAAATGGAAATATAGACAGACAATTAACAGGGATCCACGCAGAAAGGAGGAGATCCTAAGAGAACGATGCAGAAAGTAAAAAGAATCAAAATGATGCCTTAAAAAGAGTAGCCATATAGTTTAAAAGAAAATTCATTCACATCTTAATGAATATAGTTTGAATATCAATCATGTTTAGCTCTGCCACACATGCAGCAGGGGGCTAGAAGAGTTTCAGTAACAAACTGATTGACTAAGAGACTGACTTTTGTTGATGAAAACTATTTTTTGTTTTGTTTAAAATACGTTGATATTGTTTGTATCAAAATTAAACTTTCTTTCTCCTTTGACATGTTCAAAATGAAATAGAAATTTTAATAACTACCATTTCTGTCCTTCAGTGTGACGTAATGTCTAATGGTGTGACACACATAAAAGAATCACAGATTTGTTTTTACTTCAAAATATCTTTTTAAAAAAACTGTTGAGTATTGCAATAGGGGACATACAAATATCACTCAACTTAAAATGGTATAATTTTCAGCAGTTTTGAACAAATGACAGGAAAGTTTGTCTTGTTGTCAAAGTTTTGAAATTGTCCAACAAGTCATGGGGAAAAAATTATATTAATTATAATTTCATATGAAATAAATAGCACTATACGAAAATAAGTGTCTAACAATGAAGATAAATCTCTCTCTTGCTATTTATGTATTATTAAGAGTTTTTTTGTTTGTTTAATTTTTGCTATGTCACACCATAGGACAAATTTATGGTTCAGTTCAGTAAAAATGTAAAAAAAAAAAAAAAAAGCAGTGAAAGAATTGACGAAGTTAGTGACCCTTTATATTTCCTCAAAGATCAGACTTCACACTACATAAATGTATGCATTTCTTTTGCAAAAAAATGTTTTTTACAAAAAAAATGTTTTTTTTGTGGCATTTTTACGGCCTATTTCTCAACTACCCTTAAAAAAGTATTCTATAATCCTTTAAGAACTCCTAAAAACATCTGTTTTAACTCTGAACATGCATTTTCAACCCTTGTGGTGCTGTGACATACATTAAGGGTTATGAGAGGTTTGCCCTGTAGAAAGCGGGTGAAGATCTGTTGCTGAATACTGGGCAGGTCGTACTCCATCAGTGTTTCCTGTCCGCACTCCATGCTGTACTGGCAGTTGGACAGTATCAGTGGAAGCAGATCCCGCTCATACTCATAATGGATCACATGCATCTCCGTCAGGGCAGCTGGGCTTACCGTGTAACTGACGGAAACAGGACAGAGAAAAATAAGATATAGAAAAATACAGAGGTGAACACTAACTAAGTACTGTTGTTACTGTACTAAAGTTAATTTTTCAAGTATCTGTACTTTAATTTTTCTTGTAAAATTGTAATGGTAAAATTTTACAAGAAAGTTCACCAGTTAACAATAGTTATCTACATTAGTTAACATGAACTAAGAATGAGCAATACTTCTACAGCATTTATTAATCTTAGTTAATATTAATTTTGCTCTATGAACTACCATAAACAAACAATGAACAATTGTATTTTTATTAACATTAACAAAAAAATAATAAATGTATTGTTCATTGTTCGTTCATGCTAGTTAATACATTAACTAATGTTAACAAATGACACTTTGCATTTACATTTATTAATTTTGCAGACGCTTTTATCCAAAGTGACTTACAATTGGGGAATACATCAAAGCGATTCATCTTTTTTTTTTTTTTACATTTAGGATTCATTCAAGTAGTGTCAAAAGAGATGAGTTTTCAGCTGTTGCTTGAAAATTGTCAGGGATTTAGCATTCCGGATAGGGGTGGGAAGATCATTCCACCGGCCAGGAACGGTGAACAAAAATGTTCTGGAAAGTGATTTTGTGCCTCTCTGTGATGGTACCACAAGGTGTCGCTCACTAGCGGATCTCAGACTTCTGGAGGGGATGTAGATTCATAACAGTGAGTAGAAGTAGGCGGGTGCTGAGCCTGTGGCTGTTCTATATGCAAGCATCAATGTCTTGAACTTGAATGGCGAGTGAATTTTGCATGGCAAGCCACTCCCCTGTCCCTACAGGTATATAAGAAGGTGGCTGCAACTACTCATTCAGGTTTACGCTGAGTAGCCAAGAAGCGTCCCGGCATTCAGTGCGTGGACCAGTGTTGTGATAATGGGACATACGTCTCCGTTCCCTCCATCAGGAAACGAGGGTTACATACATAACCTAGTCATTCCCTTTCTGTCAGTCACTTCAATGTATGTCGTGATGACATAAAGGATCCCTATGGAAAGGGCCACAGCACTGAACTAGTTATGACAATTTGGTGATGCATATTGTTGACAGGACCTGCGTGTCATACAAATGTTACCACTACATCATAACCTGCCCAATGTCCTACTGGGAGCATATAATCTTTTTGTACCTTACTAGGGATTGAATGGACAAGCTACACCAGTAGGAAGGTAGAAACTGCCATTCCTGTTGCTTTGAGAGTATCTATGTGTTCTCTCTCTCTTTTCAAAAATAGCTTCCAATTACATTACATTGGGGAATGAGCCTTAAAGAAGGTCGCTACAGAGACGACATCCTGCCCTAAGGGAGATAATGTGGTAATACCCATAGGGACTGTTCCTACAGAACAGTGTTTCCATGAAAGAATGTCTGAGGTAGGTCTTACCTATTCTAGGGATGGACTGCTACAGCTGCAGCGACTGGACAGTCTTTACCAGCGGAAGTGTTCGATCCGCCATCTTACTGTTCCCTACCGGCAGAGAGCACCATTGAGTCACAGGGGCTGACCGGGCCCAGGTATGCTAACACAAGTGCTGGGGCTAGCGTCTGAGTCCTCCACCAAGTCTGACTGCTGAGAAGATGCCAGAAGAACTTACTGGAGAGCTAAAAAGTCACTTGCATCCCCTGGTGAGGGGGAATGGCATAGCAAGCGAGAAGGGACACGGCTCACCTTGCGATTGGTACGCCAAGGCGATGGCGTCCACTATCCAGTGAGCCAACCTCTGCTTGGAGACAGCCTCCCCCTTCTGCTGTCCTCCAAAGCAGACAAAGAGCTGCTCGGAGATTCTGAAGCACTGGGTGCGGTCCACATAAATGCACAGACCACGGGAGGGACACAGCAATACTAAAGCTGGGTCTGCCTCCTCTGGTGTCATTGCTGGCAAGTTCACCACCTGGTCCCGAAAGGGAGTGGTGGGAACCTTGGGCACATACCCAGGCCGGGGGGCCTCAGGATAATGTGACAGTCGAAATTTTTCTAGACCCGTTCCATTGACCAAAAACACTTGCAGGTCCACCCTCTTAATGGAAGTTAGCATGGTTAGGAGAGCTGTCTTAAGATACAGGATCTTCAGCTTGACTGACTCGAGTGACACAAAGGGGTCCTCTGCAGTCCAGTGAGGGACGGCCTCTGCTCCAAGACTTCTTGCAGGAAGGAAAGCCCAATGCCGATTTGGCGTCTTTGGGGGTCTTTTCTAGGAGAAAAACACCACTCAGTGAACAGAATCAACCTCAGAGTGTAGGCCTGCCTCATAGAGGGGGCTCTAGCTTGGGTGATAGTAGCGACGACGGATGGAGGAAGGCCACTGAAGTCCTCGACGTCCCATCCAGGATATGGGTACCATATGGTGCCCCGTCCCTAAGAAAGGAGGTCCTTCCTCAGGGGAATTTGCCAAGGAAGAGCTATTGCGAGGAGCATTAGATCTGCAAACCAGGTCAGAGTGGGCCAGTACGGTACAATCAACAAAACCTGTTCCTTGTCCTCCCTGAATTTGTACACTGAATTTGTGTCTGTGCAAGCAGGCTCACTGTGAGAAATGCATATTTGCGCAGAACCCATGGCCAGCTGTGTACCAGTACCTAGGTCAGGGAGTAAAACAACTGGCAGGATTCGTGGGAAGCGGAAAGGTCTATCTGGGTCTAGCTGGACCGTCTGGGGATGGAGTCTCTATTTTCCAAGGAGCGTGGGCTGTCGTAAAAGCACATTGACTGCACGATTGAGATCTCCTGGGATGTGGACGGCCTGCAGCGATTTGAGTCATGTCTGACTCCAATGGAGGAGATGGCAGGCGATCTGAGACATGCTACGGGAGCGTACTCCACCTTGGCGAAACTGGTGGAGGGCTAGAAGCACCGCCAGCAACTCCAGGAAATTGATGTGCCAATGCAGGCAAGGTTCTGTCCAGGACCCCAAGGCTGCATGCCCATTGCATACAGCCCCCCAGCCCATATTGGAAGCATCTGTAGTGGCAACAACATGCCTGGACACTTGTTCTAAGGGCACACCGGCCCATACAAAGGCAAAATCCGACCAAGGGCTGAAGGTACATTGCTGCGTGATGGTCACCCGGTATGAGCCGCAGTGCCATGACCATCGCATTGCCAATGCTGAAGCGGTTTCATATGAAGCAATTCGAGTGGGGTGACCATGGCTGAAGATGCCATATGCCCCATGAGACTCTGAAATAATTTCAGTGGAACTGCAGTTTTTCCCCCTGAATGAGTTCAGGCCACTGATCTATATATAATGACTGGATTGCTCATTACGTTCTAAACTGCCGACAGGCAGTGAAGCCACCGGAAGTGTGTAACAAATTTAACTAATCTTACTTTAAGTCTTATTGTTACCAAATAATTCTTTTTTGGGTAATCTTGTTTTAAACAGCTTACCAACCATCAATTCAATAAAGCATGTGCAAAACATAAGACTCTCAATGATCAATGCATGTATTACTAGACATATAAACTTCAAGCAAACTTTTTTCAACCCCACAGCACAATGAACAGCACATTGAAAGGTAAATAAGTAAACTGAGTCCAAAAGGCAAGTGCTAATATCAGTCCACGAGTCCTATAAAGGCACAGATTTCCATACCATCAATCAGAGTCCATAACAAAGAAACAGTCCAATCAATCAAAAAGATATAGGGCCAAGGTTTTCACACTGACAGCTGTCATTGTAAGACAGTTAGCAACTCAGTTTGTTTGTCCGAGTTCGCAACAGTAACTAAGGGGGGGCGGGGCTTACCGATAGGTCAATTGGGAGAGGTGCTGGAGCACCTGGTCCCAGGACTGCATAACTGCTCTCGAGACTGTGCTAGGATCAGCCAGTTGTCGAGATAGCTGAGGATCCTGATGCCCACTTCCCGTAATGGGGCAAGGGCACCCTCCGTGACTTTGGTAAAGACACGGGGAGACAGGGACAGCCCAAAGGGGAGGACCTTGTACTGGTACGCCTGACCCTTGAACGCAAACCAAAGAAACGGTCTATGTTGAGATAATATCAAGATGTGAAAGTATGCGTCCTTCAGGCCGATGGCTGCAAACCAATCCTGCAGACGAATGTACTTGAGAATGCGTTTCTGCATCAACATCTTGAACGGGAACCTGTGCAAGAAACTGTTCAAGACTCGCAAATTCTGGATTGGTCATCGCTTGAGAAGACGTTGCGTCTTTGAAGCACGCCCTCTTGGTTGCCGGAGGAGAACGTCGAGTCTGAGAGTGAGGAAACCGAGCGTCGCTCACTGTCAGGCTCTGACACAGATGATCCAAAGGGAGAGGAAACTGCTTTTTTGTGAGTGGTTGGGCGGAATGGAATTCACTCTTTTGCGAGACACTCAGCCTTCCATCAGAGGCAGAGATATTGCTTGATATTGTTCGCCTCCTGAAGAGCAGCTCCCCTCAACTCTGGGTTGCCATCTCAGGGCTGCTTCCGCATCTTATGAGAAGACTTACGGGCCAGATACCCTAATAATACCCTGGCCTTGGCAGCCAGGGCTGATGAGAACTTACATGCCTTGGACAGGATTTGTGACCAGCTATGGTCAGGTGGCAGAGTTCTGCGGGCACAAGCTCCACTGGAGGAATGTTCATTCCGGCTGAGGTACCGCTCCCGAGGAAGGCAGCTCATCGGAATCAGACGACAGCCCACCCTCTTATGCTGTGATAGACGTCTGGTCCTCGGGGGGAGCCCCTAATGACATGCTGGGCTCACCTCAGGATGGACCAGCGATATCACTCGGAAGTTTGACCAGAACATGAGTTGATAAGGAGTGGGAGGTCTGTGGGGACTGGCCCAACGAATTAACTCCCACTGTAACCCTCAGACTTCCCTGAGTGCTAAACGACGCCTCCTTCTGCTATGCAGAGGGGCGAGCACGGGTAACATCTAAGGGGGTACTCCTAAGATAGGAGCGCCGCAACCACAACTCGGTCAGAGGAATGCGCTCGCAATGAACGCATAACCCCCCATAAGCACTGATCCAATGTGGTCTAAGCCTATTGTAGCGTCTGGACCAATCAAACACACAATTTTTCATTTGATTTAACAAATCAGTTACATGAAAATCAGTGATAATGGCCATCATGAGGGTCCAGGAAACTACCGCACCCGGAGATACACAGATAAACAGACATCTGTAAAAAGATGCTGCACTACTGTGCCTGATCTTTTAGGAAAGTTCGCTCTTTTAGCCAGCGTGCCCAGGGGGAACTTGCAGCACTTAATTTTTTTCTTAACGAAAATCTGAATGAGTGGTTGCAGCCACTATCTTACATACCCGTAAGCACGGGGGAGTGGCTTGGCATGCAAAATCCACTTGCCAATGTTCATTGGCTCTTTCTCTTACTCACTGAGGTGATTAGGATCCCAAGGGAATCTCCATATGCCATCACAACATCCGTTGAAGTGACATACAGAAATGGAACTAGTATGTTTGCATAGCATTGATCTTAAAATACTAACACATTGAGCCCAACATGACTTCTTTTTTATATTGTATATTTATATTTAACATAATTTTAGGAAAAATATTTAGTTTTTCTCAACTCTATGTACTATATGCTATATTTTGTTATTTTTACTTGTTTGCACACTTGACTTACCAGAAATTATCAGTAGCAGTTATCAGTGTATGGCAAGTTTTGGTAATAAAAATCTTCTCCTTCAATACATATGAAGTTGCAGCATAATCCTCCATATTGACTAGTGCTGGCTGCTTGACAATTCATAATAATTAATAACGATATCAGACTGAGCTGTTGCCTATTTACAAGCAGTAATCAATCACTACTTTTTACTTTTAATACTTAAGTATATTAAAATATCAAGTACTTTTGTACCTTTACCCAAGTAAAATAGAAAGGGAGTCCTTAATACTTTTACTGGAGTAATATTTTATTAGGGTATCTGTACTTTTACTCAATTACTTGATTTGTGTACTTTGTCCACCACTCGAAAAATAAGGTTAACAGGGAAATATGGCAGAAAAGTTGCTAGCTTTAACCACCAGGTCACAGCTCTGACAGGACAATGGTTCAGTGTGAGTTATTAGTGTGTCGATGTGTAATTACCAAGGTATTCTGGATGGTTGTTTTCTGGCTCAAATTGAAGGAACCCTCTACTAAGTCATTTACAAATGACTCAGAATCCTTTTTAAATGTAACTCTATGGGTGTTTTTTTTCTCATCTTGTATAACTGGACATTCTATCAACAAGCCACATGATTTGATATCTCTCATATCCACTGTGTCACTGTGAGTCATGCCATAATGATTCATACTTATGGTGTGTTCACACCAGACGCAAAGCGAATATGCGCATCGCGTCACTCGCTCTAGATTACTCGCGGGATGTTTTTCGTGTCACTCGTGCGAATAAAAACAGCGCGATCAACCATGGTGGAGATAACTACAATCGCTGTTTTGTACCTGTTGTCAAAAAGTCCCAAATACAATGGAAAGCCAAACGCCGACGTGTCTGGGTTCACAGCACCATCCAGAGGAGGATGAATAACGTTAGGATCCTGTATTAATGTGTGTGTTAGATTTTACTACTGTATATATACACTGATATTACTATTATTTTTATTATTGATAGCAGCATCTCTGTAGCCATGCTAATAAAATACAACTACCACTACAACTGATTTTAATTGTTTTCTATGCTCCAGACCTATATAATAACAGATGGCTGCAATAATGCTCTCTTCTATTGTCTGATTCAACCAGACGTGCCTATAAGCTCTTTGCTGATTGGCTTGCGCGAGAACGCTTCAGGTGAATTTTCTGCTCTAGTTGAAATTTTTGAACTTGCGCGAAAGACGCGATTGAGGCGAATATATCGAATTCACCTCTATTCGCGTCTTTGCATTGACTTTGTATGTAATCTACTCGCGCGAATAATTAAATTTGCGTTTGGTGAGAACACACTGTTAGGTTTAAGGCTTTGCTCAACACAATAGCCCTAAATGAGCAATGATTCCTATATAAAACACAACAAATGACATAAGACATTTGAACTCCTTACCCAGACTCCTCTCCGGTGTGTTTTTCCATGGTGTACACAAGGTCATTATGAAGGGCGATGAGGTAGCTGACAAGGGCAGTGGAGCACAGGCCCAGACCATGTCTCTGTGGCAGCAGCACCTGCAGGTCAGCGTCCAGACTCAGATCCTTCTGAGTGTATTCAGCCGGCAGCTTTATCTCTCCTAACAGAAAAATATTAATTAATCAACAGAAAACAATAAACATTGCTCATCTGCCGAAGAAATGATTTAACAGTGGTCTAAAACAGGGTTAGTATGTAGGGGGTTGGTTTACCTGTGGTGGCCAGAGATACCCTGAGTTGGTTCCATGTTGACAAGAAGATGTTTATGCACTTTTTATACCAAGCTAGTGAAGCTGTTGGTTGAAAATATGACACTATTACTGGGTTTACAGTGAAAATAATCATTATTTATAGAGAAATGCCATATGCTTGCAGGATTGCACTAAAATGGGTAAATTAACCACAAACAAGCTTGCCAAAAAATTATTAACAACAATTAATGTATCATCAATCAATCATGAACATCCTCATACTGACCCTAAGATAGGGCTGGACAAGGCTGCCCATTTAGATTCACTTTCTTGCAGAGATCAATCTCCAGCCTGATCAAACTCCTGATTTTGACCTTGATTATTTTGTTCATGTGTGTTTGATTAGGGCTGGAGTGAACTCTGCAGAAAACCGAATCTAGAGGGCCAGAGCTGTCCACCCCTCCACCAAGACAACATTTAGCCATGGCAAATGATTTCTTCATTCTCTATGACCAATTGTCCAGTACCTTCTTTATGGCCATCCAGAAATTCTCCTATGGTTTTGAAGGTTAAGTCTGTCACGTTCTGGAACTTCTTTACCAAATCCTTCTGGAGAACCAAGATGTCAGGAAGGAACTTCACTAGCCGTAACTCTGCTTCCTGAAATGAACAGTGTAATGGTTAGATCAGTTACACAATTATTTGTTACATTTAACAAACAATCCACAACAAGCAAACCATGAGCCATATAAAAAACCCTCCCCTGAACTGCAGATAACTCCAAATGTAACACAGGCAACTGGTTACCATGGCAGCAAAGATGCATCAGCATGATAAAATGAGAAGAATTTATGATCATTTACACTTTTATAGGAGTAAGGGAGAACAAAGCAGCTATGGCATTATTTATATTTTGATTACTGTGCACTATGATGTAAATAAACTACAAACAAAAAAACTCTTAAAAATGACTATTATTCTCTCAAAAGATGACTTGACTCAAGATTATATTCACAGAAAAATGCTCTCTTAAGTTGTTTATTCAACTGTATATTCAGTTTAACTTGTTTAATCTGTACACTCTTTAGGAAACTTTCTTTTGGACATAAATTAGGATTACAAAGTCACTTTTCTGCTATTGTTCTTAGATTCCTCTACACCTGTTTACCTTTATTTTTCCCAATGCTGCTTTATTATAGTGAAATAACTTCAGATAAACCCGCCACTAATATCTTACCCTTTGAAGGAACCTCCAGAGTATAGGTGAAGTGTCCCGACCATTGTTCTGTTCCACAATGTGGGCCAGACTCAACACCGAGACCTTCCTCCTGCAGCTCCAGATGGATGAATTATGGATAAGGGAGTTCTGGGGCAAAGAGCGCAGGAAAAGCTCTGGTTTGCCAAATGCCAACTTCATCACTGGATTAGAAGACACTCGCTCATCTTTCCTGATGATTTCATTCACTTCCTTTAGCTGTTTCTCCAGAACCTGAGAGAAAGAAATATATCAACGAATGAAAAGTAGAGCTTCAACTAATAGTCATTTCAGTAATCCAGAGGTTGACAAACTTTTTTTTTGTACCCCTTGAGGTTTTAGGTTAATATTTAAACAATTTAACAACACTTTTGCATGTTCACAGTTCTCCGAAGACACTTAATGGTCACATGACCTGCAAGCAAACCGATAAAATATCTAATCCTTTTTTTTTTCTAATCTGATTTATATTGATATTTCTAAAATGTCAAATCCTCCAGCTTTTATATTGGTGGAATATTGGTAAAAACGTCTGTCTTCTGTCCTCTCACAGCATTGCAGAGATGTACAAAGTTTGTAAGAGGCAGCATGTACTGTGAACCAAGCCTCTCTGAAAACACATTAATTAAAATATGCACACATGTAAATTAACACAGTGCTGTTGTTCACTCTGATACGTGCAGTCCAACTGACTATATATACTTCATTAATTAATTACATGAAGGTGGACTAAAACAAACAAATGTCCAATGTTATCCAATAAAGAAACAACAACCAGACACCTCCGACCTAGAGCTTTAGAACCAAGCCCAGGAAGGACTTATTAGTCCATGCAGTTTCTGCCCTTCACCCATCTAGAGAATGATTGCTAAGGTTTTGGCCTGTGACCTCCATAAAAATTCCTTAGGACCGCCGGATGCAGCAGCAATAGGTGAAACAAAGAGAGATCACAGAGATCCATTCATATCCATTCATAAATTAAGCGTTGGCGTTAGTTCTGGCAGGTCACGTGAGTCAAGCTTGCATCAGCTGATTCTCAGCTGATCACATCTACCTATAGGAATACGACACCTATCACGGCATTCCTATATAAGCTCTATTCAGTATTATTCAGCAGCTTTTCAGCTTGCTCCGGAGCAAATTACCCTCCTCCATCCCCAGCTCCTCCTTTCGCCACAGTCAGGACTTGGCTTTCTGATATTCCTTGCTAATCAGACTCCTTTATCTTGAATAAAGTGTTACACTTAAATATCATTAAGTACATTAATGATATCTGCCTTGTTCTGTTCTGTTAACCCTAGGGGGGTTATTATTGCTGCTCTCCCTGCTCATTCATGACAGGCTGCATGGATGGGCAGGGAGGTTTTTGCCCAGAACAGAACCATACCGCCAGACCAAACTTTATGCAAAGTATCTATCATTCTGACGATAGTGGTCCTGACAGAACTACGTTTGGAAATGGACGTAAACTATAAGGGTGCTCTGATCATTTGGATACCGACCACAATCAGCAGTTAATCGCTTCTTATAACTCATGATCTCTCAATTTGCCAATCTTATAAACCGATCTTATGTTGAAGATGCAAAAAGATGAGCACCAACTGTGAAAGGTATGGCAAATATGACATGCTTGCAGTGGCGCTGTCTCACGTTCTGAGTCTCTAGAATGTGAGGAAAAACACATTTACAGACACACTATGTTCCCGAGTCTTTGTCCCAGAGAGACAAAAGCGCTTTGACCTCTCTGGTCTTGAGTCTCTAGCCCAGAGTGGCAGAAGACATACAGACATTTGTAACAAGGCCAAGGTCCTGCAAGCAAGCCTTCACTTAAAGGCACATTCTTCTGCCTGTTCCAGATTAAGGACCTTCTGCACCTACTTTAAGGCCTCGTCTGTGTTACAGATTTTAAGACCCTATGGCGCTCCAGGAGATCAGCACTGTTGAAATTTTTGAATTTTGAATTCACTGTTGAAAGCCGCAGAAAGGCTCATCAGTAAACCACTTTCGCCACTGCATTGTAAACCAGCAAAACCAGTGGAAAAAGTCACCACCACCGGACTGCTCACTCGACCACAGAGAACGTAAATATCCCTCATCCAAACCTCTTTCTAGAGACCTTGTATATTATCAGTATATCATTTTCTAATTTACATTAAATAGCAAAAGGCAGTGATTTCATTAAATAGCCTGTAGCACTGCATGTTTTAAAGAGAAGCGCACACTTTGACCAGTTTGTGCATATCAGTTTACAGGGAATACAGCAAACCCCATCTTCGCATGTGCTGTGAGTTTAACATGCTTTTGGGAATGCAATTGGCACCAGTTACGCATTATTTTTAACATTTACATAATTTCTAACATTTTTTTGGACAGATGATTGCAGTATTTCACTTAATTTACAGTAAAACATATAAACCTGTTTTTGCATAAAAAGTTTTCCGCCAATATTAAAGCTTGAGGTTTTAACTGGAAATGAAAAAAACGAAGAGAAATGTATCATAATTTTCCTACAGTAACGTTTTAGGAAATGTCACAATTTTCATTTACATTTATTTTACAGTTCAATTGCATTACAATAGTACAAAAACATCATATCTGTTTATGCTGTGAGGGAAAACAAACTATTCAAATTAACGTGCATAGACCTTGTCAGGTGATTGATCTTAACTCTCTGTAATGAATATGATTTTTGCTCTCTGCAATGCTGAAAAATTGATGTGTGGCATTTTGCACCTATAATCAATAAATGTTGATCCCTGATATTTTGTGATGTAAAACCACTCCCACAAAGCCACTGGTGAAAAAATTGAGAGCCTCCAGTAATTCTTCATGTCGCTCTGTGAGATGATTCCTGTTTGATATAGCACATTGCCGAATATAGGCAATATTGACTGAGTAACATCGCTGCTGCAGTCGAAACTGTGCATGGAATGTATTCATTTAAAATGCTACATACAAATTTTTTATTTCATAGTTTTAATGACCATGGGATAACAATATAGACTGTTGAATGACCCTAGGATACTGATATTACAGTCAGATTAAATACAGGGATTGAAGACGGGGTCGGCAACCTAATCACTGGCACACGAGCAACAGGGAAAACTGCATTCCAACATACATTTTGAGGTAATCATTCCTCATAGTTACATAGCTGGTTAGGGACTATAAATAGTGAGAATTAACGTGCTCTAGTCTACAGACACACGTGGCTCCGGCAAACCATTGGCGCATATGAGGCACTGCAGATTAATGCTGTGCCATGCTTTCGCATAGGTTAAGTCCATTTAGCTTCAGTCACACTACAATATTCAGTGCATGACAGCTTAAAGTTCCCTTCCGAGGGAACTCGAACTACGTCCTCTAGCAGTCGCTATGGGGAACACTTTCAGCATGACCAATGCCTGAAGCAAACATCTAAACACGACAAAAGCATTGCCCGGCGACAGCCTATGTCATCGCTACTGACGCGACCACAGTATAAAAGGGCGCCGATAGAACACGTCATCATCAAGTCTTCAGGGACTGTTTTGTTTGAAGCATGCATTCCGGTAAGAACGCTGTTCTTTCTATTACATTACGATGTAGCAAATTAGCTTAAAAGGGAAATGTATATAAATAATTACAATTAATTATGATTAATTACAATTATTTATATCCGCTGCCAGTAGTACCTGTAGCAGAATTAAATTGCCATCAACTAATCTGTCCGTCCAGCAAACATTTAGTGTGATTTTATTTCAACTCTAAGAAAGGATATTTTCGTGGCCACAGTCTTACAGTAATAATGCATTAGAGCATGTCGCTAGATCAGATCGTAAAAGGGACATTATCCACAAGCAGTGACAGAATCAGAAACAAGATGTGCACACAAAGAAACAACATCTGTGCGCACAAGTTTTATTAACTAAACACTAAAACAAAACTAGTCAAACAAACAAACACAATCACTCATACAGGGGGGAAGGGCAAATGAGACTTGATGAATGAAACCATTAGAGAAACGGGATGAAGCTATGAAAAGTGTCAGTTACCACCTGAGTGAAACCATCAGCGCTGTTTTACAATGGGGTCTACAGCTTATACTAAACCTCTGTTTCGTTTAGTTGAATGTATGATACTTGCATTGCCTTGGTCATTGAACGAGCGTCCGGATGTCTCAGATAAAAATTCTGATGGTTTGAAGGTTCGGTGGTGTTGGAATCACAATCACATTCTTCAGGGTTTGAAGAATGATGAACTCCAAAGATGTTATTCTGACTCTGTGGTGATTGGGAGAGTTTTCTCCCAGGTGAAGAGTGAAGACAGAAGACATAGCTGCAGTCAAGGCCTGTTGGGTGCAGTAAGGTTGAGCACGACGGTGGTTGAGGAATGTTCCATGTCCTGCTCCCTGACAGCCTTGCTGAATGTTTTGGCTCAGAAAGAAAAACGCTCAGGAAGTGAGCTATTTCATGTCTTGCCCTGCAGACTTAAGCTACCCCATGACCATTCTGCACATGCACTGAGCTTGAGTTTTTAGTAACTCTGTTCTCTGAATTCCGCTCTGCAGTTTTGATAGGCTGTCAGGCCATCTGTGGCCTCCCTGTCACACTGCCCTTATGGTTGAATCAGTCCCTCCCCTTTTAGGAATGGTTTTGAGTGCACTGTTTTCCCTGAGGTATGAGTGTGATGTACTCCCTTCCTTCTGAAGTTCTATTATTGAGTACTCACTCTGAGGAGCTCTAATCAGATGTATGAATGGCTTTTGGTCCCATTCAGTTTTTGTGGTTGAGCTAGCATTGCTCCCCTTGAAAATAAGGGTGATGCTATAGCACCGCTCCCACAAACTTCTTCAGTAGGCTCCTTTAGGCCTAGCTGTATGTGACCCTCAATCTCCCTATACTGATGTATGAGTTTAAGAGTGTGAAGGAGCCCTGTGTGCAGTTATATCAGGTCGACAGGCCTTCTTTCTGCCGCCCTGTTAGACTACCCTTTCTGGTTGAATTTGGCAGTGCTACCCTCAATACAAAGGGCTATGAGCCTGCTGCTCCCAGTTTAAGCATGTGAGTTCACCTCTTGATTTGACAATCAAGCACTCTGCTCTTAGGGCTCTGTATAATAACGCTGCCCTCATGGTCGAGCTTGGCAGTGCTCCCCTCACTGCAGAGGGTTACCTATGAGCCTGCTGCTCCCAGAGTGAGATGTGAGTGCTCGTTTTGGTCTGAGAGTCAAGGGCTCCGCTCCTAAGGCTTCGT